GCTATGAGTCACAGGCAACTCGACGGCACATAACAACAACAACATGGTACATAATAACAACAATAACAACATAGGAATAGGATTCCTAGTTTGGCTATTAAACTCAAGAAAATGACTAAAAGTAGTATGAAAAAATATTAAAAATATCTGAAGTATTAAAAATTATCACCTTTTATCTATTTTATAAAACTATATCTTAGAAATCAGAATGAAGGAAATGTTAACTTAGTTAAATGTAGGAAATTTATCTAGAGTTGGGAAATAAATGGAGCCTATGTGAAGGAAAATTTTACTAAAAGATATAAAAGAAAAGACACTAACAAATGAGAAAAAAAACATGAATTAAAGACTATATAGTTATGTTCTCTTTTACATAAATGTTAAAATACTGAATTTTTAATAATTTTATATAACAATGCTAGAATACTTATAAGATATTTTAAATAATTTAAAACATTACTGATTGTATTGTTGATTAGTGTCAAGTTGAGCACGACTCATAGTGACCCTATGAAGAAAAAGGGCCTGAAGTCTTTCTAAAACTATTGACATTTATCAAAGTTCATAGAATTTCCAGAGGCATATTGTTTAGGAAGTGGATGCCACTCCTGCTTAAAAGGTTACCTAACATTGTCAAAATGTTGAGTATTTCAAACTCTAAGATCAAAGATAATATATTTTGGAATGTTGTTGTTGTGTACCATCTACTTGGAAATGACCCATAGCTGACCCTCTGGTGGGTTGGTTTTCAGAAGCGGTTAATCTCTTAAGAGGACATTGCCCATCCTTCTCCTGTGGAGCACCTAGTGGATTCGAAATGTGTGCCTTTGAGATTGCAGTGAAGCTTCTTGCCACTAGGCCACCAGAGCTCCTTAAGTTTAGAGTGTAGTTGGAAATATCCAGTATTTTAATATATACCTCCCTATACTAGTTACCCACCATGGACTGTGTTTGGTGGAGCTCCCCAATTAAAACAAGCTTGGAAGCAGGAGTGGCATCCACTTCCGAAATGGCTTGCGTCTGGAAACTCTAGGAACAGTGCTCAGTCTGTCATTCATAGGGTCGCTATGAGTCGCCTACGACTCGATGGCACCTAGTAACAACAACAACATACTAGTTTATAGGGAGCTCTGGTGGCCTCGTGGTAAAAAGCTGCACTGCAGTTCCAAAAGCACACAGTTAGGATCCACTAGCTGCTCTGTGGTAAAAGAATCATCATTCTCCTCCCAGGTAATTAACTGACTCTCAAAGTGCACTGGAAAGTGAGCTATGGGTTGGTTCCGACTCGATGGCATATCACAACATACCAGTTTATAACATTTTATGATATTCTAATCATGAGCCTAATGAAGAGGTTTTTATTATTTTAATTTTACAAAATTTACCTAGACTAAGAATAGAAACTTCAAAAGAAAAACAATAAGAAAGGATTAACTTCATGATAACTGAAATGGAATTGTTGTTGTTATATGCCATTGAGTTGCCTGCAACTCATAATGACCTTATGTATTTGTATAAAAATAGATAATGAAACAGAATAGAAAAATCTAAAAATCAGCCTGAATGTGGGTGTATTTTTTTAATAGCTGATGTGTTCTGATACCACATACCAGTCTGTTAGTCAAGTGCATTCTCTCAAATAATTATCAAAATCCTACTAAGACGTAGGCTCTATAATTCCCATTTTGCAGATGTACTACCTTTTGTCTTTGTTGTTGATATTGTTGATTGCCTTCAAGTCAAGCACAACTCATAGTGACCCTATGAACAAAAATGCCTGAAGCCTTTCTATAATTATGGACATTTATCAAAGTTCATAGAGTTTCCGGAGGCATGTTGTTTAGGACGTGGATGCCACTCCTGCTTCCAAACTTGTATTAAACTGGGAACTCCACCAAACACTGTCCACCATGGGTAACCATTATGGCATTTGACGCCCCAATGACACAAGTTTCAGCATCATAGCAAACCCAGGTTACCTCAGTACAGCATATTGACAGAAGAGTGCTGTGCCTCAAAAATATAATAACAACAACCAACTTTCAATCCAAAGGCCTTCTGACTTTATAAGGCTCAAAACCTGTCTGCCCACACGTTTTGGTGAAGGCATCCTGTTTCCCAACCAGTTGGTGAAGGGGAAATGCTATGGTAAAGGGTGCACAATCTTGCTCTTGAAAAGTGCTTATAGGAATCATCCATATGTGAATACAAAATGAGAGGTGATACCCCAGAGCCAACACAAAAGTGACAACATAACACAGCAGCAGCAATACTATTAGGGTTTGGTGGAGAAAGGGCTGCTTCTACCAGAATGGGCAGTAGGAAACCGACAAGGCTCTCTGGAGAAGTAAAAATTGAAGAACATGCTGGAGCTTAACCCGACAAAGAAGGGAGTAGACATCATTTGAGGCAGAGATGATAACAAGGAGACATAATGCAGAGGGCATCTGTGAGAAGTTCTCTGTGGGGGTTGGAGCCATTTCTGGGCAGTATGTCCCACAGCAAAGAGACATACAATTACATCTCCACTGTGTTTCCATGAACAGATCTCCTTGGGAGTGGATGGAGGCATTCCTATATTCTTGGGATATTTGATACAGAAGCAGAAATGGTGGCCTGATATTTTAGGGAAGGCCTGCAATTTGGAGTCCCACAGGTCTTGTGTCCATCAGAACAGCATGGTCCTGGGCCAGTAACTTAGGGACGTCTTCTCTTCTGGAAAATGGAGTAAATAATCCCTACTTGGTCATCAAGCCTGTTTGGTATGATTAACAAGACAGTGGGTGTAGAAGAGTTTATTGGCCTAGAGAGGCTATAAGTCATGTGAGAGATGCCACACAGTTACCATCTTTTCTGTGTTCGTCACAAAGAATTATGAGGTCAGGCTTGTTCCAGGGCCTGGTGTACACAGGGAAGAGGCTTTGCTTCCTTGTCTAGAATCTCCCACAGACTTGTGCTTGGTCACAACCACAGCTGTGATGTAGGCTCCCCTCTGCCAAAGCTGCTCCCAGAACTGAGCCTCTGGGGAGCAGGCAGGGTGAGGGCGGGGGACACATAGGTGTCTGCCAGATCCAGAATGCTTTTCTGTAACCTTCAGTGTCCTCTGTGTTCCAGGCTATGAATCCAGGGCCTGCAGTGACTCCGAGGAGTCATCTGAAATGGACTGTGTGCTGGAACCTCTCTCTGACAGACGCCTGGTAAAGCTAGTTCCCTGCATCCCTCTCATGAAAGAGGAGGCGCCTCCAGGGGACAGTGCCACACCTGAGGTGGCCAGGAGAGGCCCAAGTACATGCGGGGCCAGCAGCGTGACAGACAGTGCTGAGTCTGAGGCGTCGGACTCGGCTAACACCGAGAGTCGCGGCTGCAGGACCAGCGGCTCCAGCGAGTCCATGGATGCCCTGGAAGAGGATGACCTGGACGCCTGCTCTGCCAGCCGGTCTGGCTTCTTCCACTTTGGCTCATCAGGCTTCTCAGAGAATCTTGACTCCAACAGCCAAGAGGAGAGAGACAGGATGGAAACCAATGGCTTCCTCTGTCTCCTGGACCTGTCCCAGAGAGCTGTTCCTCGGTGCCAGAAGGCCGACTTTTCGGAGAACCCCACTCCCGAGATGTTCAGCTGGGGCCCCGAGCTGAGCGCAGTCAGGCTGGACCCCAGGCTGTATGAAGGCAGCCGGACTGACTACTACAGCCTGTGTTCCAGTGTTTCCCCAGCCAGCCATCTGAGTGACAGCTCAGACAGCATGGCTTCTCGGCACGGGGTTCCCCCAACAGCCTGGGGACAGCAGGGCTGGACTGAGGCCCAGCCTGGCTCCACACTGGAAGCCCTGGCCTCACACCCTCCACTGACCTTTGAAGATGGCAGCTCTGATGAAGAATACTATGATGCAGCTGATAAGCTCACCCCCCCAGACACCCTCTCAGGTGAGCTCTCCCCCACAGGTCTACAGATTTGCCAGCAGCTTCCGAGTCTCAACCAGGACCAGGGACCAAGCTTAGAAAAGCACAGGAGTAGAACAGTATCCCTACCCTCTAATGAGGAAGCCAACCCGGCTCAGTAGATAAATTACCAGAACTATGGCTTTGAGTCAGGGCTGTAGGCCAGATTCTGAGAATTACGGGTAGGCAGAGGTGGAAGGGATCCATTCAAATAGGGAAAATCAGAGAGAGCTTTCAGGAAAGGTGATAAAAGGGCTAGCTAGGCTTTGTGGGATGGACAGAAGGAAAGAGAATTGACTGGAGAGACTAGCAGAGCAAAGTGGCTGTGTTGTTACTGACTCTGAAGCTATAAGAAATGAGGCCTCAAGGCAAGGCTTCTCAACTGACAGGCCGTTGGTGGGCCCACAGAGACCCTGACATTGGAAGGCAGGTAACCTATGAGCAGTGTTTCTCTCTGGTCCCTCATCATAAAGAGTGTGGTGTGTCTTTCCATAAAGAATGATTTTCCAAGCAGATCTGGGATTCCTATAAGACACACACCCTATTCTGAAGGAAGAAACATAGGAAATGCCACATAGGTATTGAGGGTGACCTACTTGGAGCTGGGAGAGCTGCAGCCTGATGATTTCTGTTTCAGCCCTTTTCTCTTGCTCTGGCCCCCTCTGCTCCTGCCCTCCAGTGGTTTTCCACTTTTTGGTGGGCACTGTGAGGGTCTCTGAGGCCATCTGTGACCTAGGTCCTGCTGCCTCCTTCCTCCTGAGCCCTCTCTGTCACGTAGTGTTTTGAAAATGCCACTTCCTTCCTCACCACTGACCTTTGCACATGCTGCTCTTTCTGTCTGAAATCCCCTTCACCTGGATCTGGGTTGCTGTCCATTCTGCTATTGGTCCCAGGCTCCCAAGTGGGGCAGGCCTCACCAGCTCCATCACATGTTCTTACAGCACCATGAGCTTCTCCTGCGTGTCACTCAGCACTGTCTCTATGCTTTTCTTTATTTGTGTGATTTTTACGTTGTTGTTTTGTTCCCTGCTGGCTGGAGAACTTCTCTGAGTGCAGGAACCGTGTGGTCTTACTCAGCAATGAGTCTCCGGTAGACAGTGCCTAGCAATTGCTGCTAAATGAATGAGCTAACTCCATCATCTACCCTGTGCCTCTAGGGCAAGAGAAACCTATGGCCAGACGTTGTCCTGCTCCCCAGAGAACCCAAGCAAGCTTGAGTCCTGAACCCATGGTCTAGAAAATCTCTTGGTTTTTCTACCTTTTTATGTTCTTTTTTTTTTTTTCTTTCTTGACTCACAGGGCCTAAAGCTGTTTCTGTGGTAGAACCTGGCACCACAGACTTGCAGAGCAAGGCCAGCACTTACAACCTCGAAAAGAAACTGCACCCTGGGCCAGATGGACGAGATCTGACCAAGAGGGGAGGGATGAAGAAATACGCCAAGACTCTGAGGAAGAGAAGGTCTTTCCTACAGACTGACTATACCTCGCAGGTCTCGTTTCCCCTGCTGCCCTCAGCCTCTCTGGAGAGTGTGGACGATGTGTGCTACTATGACAGGGAGACCTACCTGGCTCTCAGTGCACCATCCCCGACCGTGTCTTCCCTGCAGGATATGCACTGTGAACCTGGCCTCCTGGAGACCAAGGCCTTGGGGCTGCTGGCACCCCTGAGGGAGGCCAAGAGCAACAACCCAGCCTCCCGGGTAATGGAGATGGAGCCCGAGACCATGGAAACCAAGTCAGTCATTGACTCTCGGGTGTCTTCTATTTCTGCCATTCGCCTCCGGATTGACCCCAACCATAAAGGAATTTCTGGGGTTTCCCCTTTGAATGCCCCCATTGCCAATCCCCCAGCAAGTACCTCTCACTGTCCCAACTCAGCTTCATCTGGCCCAGATACTGCCCAAGCAGAGCCTTCTCAAACCTTATTGCCACTTCAATACCCAGTTGGCAGTGCCCCCAAAGATGTAGCCATGAAACTTGGGGACCTCACATCCCCCTCCAGAGCTAATCCTGCCCCAGATGGGGTCTGCCTGGCCAACAGTTCTGAGCCACACAATGTCTCTCAGGGAGATGCACTAAAACTTGTAGCTGTCCAGTCGGAAACAGGACTGGGGTCTTTGTTTACAAATCACATGCAAGAAACTGCCCCTAAAGACACGGAACCAGTGTTGTTTCCTGGAGACCAGCCCAGAAGAGGGGAATATAGAATACATTCAGGAGAGAAGACGGCCTCTTTGCCTACACAGGAGGAACAGCAAAGACAACTCACTTTGGAAAGTGAAAGAAAACTGGCAAACAAAACTGGCACGGATGTATTTCAAGAGCATTCTGGGAGGGTCTCGGGCGACTCCAGTGGTGATGTGTCGGATGCTGCTTCACAGGCTCTTGGTGGTCCCGAGTCAGCTAATGAAATAAGAGGCTCTCTCTGCTTGGAGATTTCTGAAATAGGGACTGAGAAGACCTCAGTACGTGCCCCAGGAGACCCTCAAAGACAAAGCAGAGAAACTCTAGGCCAAGCCTGCCAGACCCAAGAACAAAAATTATTGGCAGAGTTAGCTTTAGATACTGACTTTTGGTTGGGGGACCAGACCATCCCATCAGCACCCCCTCCAGACGGGATCAAAGCAGACCTGCTTAACCATGTGCTGAGGAAAGACACAACCCCTACGAACACTCCACAGGCCTGTTCTAATCCAAGGCCTTTCCTGCCAAATATCCTGCCATGTCCCCAAGGGGAGCCCCACAGAGAGAGTCCAAACTACCATTCCCTATTAGAACGCAAAAGTGAACACCCTACCATCTGCCTTCCAGAGAAGTCCTTCCTGTGTTTTTCCGCAGGCAGCCATCCTGATATTTCTTCCAGTCCCCAGATGGCTGTGTCTTTGGGCTTCGCAGGAGTGGATGAAGCGGTGGCACACAGGGTTGGGATGGAGCAGTGTAGCTGCCAATTCTCCTATGCCACATGCTTCCGTGTCCCACAGCCTGAGGTGGAGGATGAGGACAGGGACTCGGAAGCATGCCCCATGGCTCCTCTCACCTCCCCGCCCTGTGCAGGAAGCCCCCTGACCCTTCCCTGGAGGCCAGGCCGGGCCCACAGCTGCAGCACGGAACCCCCGTGGAGGAAGAGCTACATCTGGCCTGAGTACTGCTCCCGGACATTGAGGCAGCTCAAAGCCACCCCCACTGGCACCCCTGAGGGCTTCATCCAACTCACTGAGAGCTTGCTTGAGCTGCAAGACATTTTAGACGCTTCCTGGGTCGGTGGGAACAAACACCCCCCAGAGAAGTGCACCTGGCACTTTTCCGAAAGCCGGAGCCGCCTCTGCACAGGCTCCCAGAAGCTCTTGTCCAGCTGTCAGCACGTGATCAGGATGGACCAGACCCCCGAAGAGATGCAGGGTGCAGTGCGTGACACCTTCCAGAACCTGGTCCAGCTGGCTGGCCTGTGCTTCCAGTTCACGGACTGCAGCCGCTGCTCTGCCCGGCACAGGGAGGCAGCTGGGAACCTGCGGGACGTGGTGTACGCCTACTGCCAGTTTGTGGAAGCTGCCAGGCTGACCTGTGAGCGAGGCTACCACGACCTGAGTGTTAAACTCTTAGCCCGTCAGTGCACAGCCCTCACGGCCTCTGTGTTCTGTTTGACCCACAAATTCCGGGCATCTACTGCCTTGTGAGCTGGTCAGCTGCCCAGGGCCTCCTGCCCTGCTCTGGACACCCATTCATTCCCCCACCTCCCTCCTTCAAATGTTTACTATTTAGAATATTCAATAAAATGCTGCTTAATCTTGGCCTGAATCTTACAGAGCCATGACACATTTGGGCCAAAAGCATTCATCCTTATTCATTGAATAGTTGTCCACTGGGTACCTTCTCTTTAGCCTTATTCTAGGAGTTTGGGCTAGAAAGAAGACAAGAGCCTGCCCTGGTGTGGCTGCCTGCAGACCCTAGAGGAGTATAGGCAGACTATCATCAGTAAAGTGTGTATGTGCTTCAAATTCACCAGCTGCTCCATGGGAAAAAGATGAGCGGTCCTCTCTGTGGACTTTACTGCCTCTGAAACCCCACTGAAGGGTCAGCTATGAGTCAGTTCTGACTTGATGGTGCATAAAAACGACAACAAAGTGTGTGTTATAAAGAGAATGTGGGTGCAAGCAAGAAGTCACAGACTTGGTCCCCCAAAGGCAAGAGTGATGGGAGGAGGCAACAGTCACTGAAAAACACAGTCTTGCCTCTTCAAGTGACACATTTCGATAACCCTTGCATCTAGGACTGAATGCATGAGATATTTGATAGACTGTGGCGAAGTTTTGTCTCTCATACTTTGGACGTGTTGCTAGGAGAGGCTGTTAATTGGAAAGGGCCTTTTTGCTTGGACAGAATCAATAAAAGCGAGGAAAACCCTCAAGGAGATGAGTTGACATAGGGACTGCAGCAAAGGGCTCATGTGTCAGAGACAATGAGGATGGCACAACACAGGACAGGGTTCAGGTCTGTTGTATGTAGGGTCACTATGAGTTGTAGTCGACTCAATGGCACCTAGCAAGAACCACCCCCTTCATTATTATGGAGCACAATTCGACTCTGACACTTGCAGGGTCGCCATTAATTGAGACTGACTCCATAGCCACTGGTTTACTGGGCTTTGGAGTCCTGGCTGGTGCAAATGATTATCCAGCCAGTAGTTAAAAGATTGGTCATTTGAGTGTGGACCCAGAAGTACCTTGGAGGAAAGTCTTGATGATCTGTTTCTTTTAAAAATATCCCTTTTCTGCTCTGACACACATGGAGTTGCCCTGAGTTAAAACCCATAACTTCTGGGTTACATTAACTTGTGGTTTGCAGTATTTACCCCTTGAGGTCTGATATTATTGGCTTCTTCCCTGCAGCAAGCAGAGGTTTTCACTAGGTGGCAGTAAACTCCTTAGTTGTCTGACTTGCCACATTATTGTTAGGCGCACGACTGACTCCTAAATGATTCTACAGGTGATTTTCAGAGGCTGTAAATTACAGAGGAGATTGCCCTTCTTTCCCACAGAGCAGCTGGTGGATCTGAACCGAGTACCTTTGGCTTGTCAGTGCAACTCCTTACCACCAAACCAGGAGAGCTGACACTCCTTGTTAGCAATTGTTAACTACAACTGGAAAATCAAACCCACTGCCTTAGAGTTAATAGCAACTCATAACAAACATCCACAGGGTTTCTGAGGCTGTAAATCTTAATGGAAGCAGACTTGCCATCTTTCTCCCAAGAAGCAGCTGGAGGAACCACTGAGCATGAACTACTATGTTTCAATTAGCAGCACAATGTTCTATACACTGTGCCACCAGGGCTTGTTGTTAGTTAACACTTCTCATCATCAAGTCAGAACCCAATTGACTACACCACCAGAGCCCCCCACTCCTGGTTAACTGGTGATCAGTTAGTCAGTGTTGGTGCCAAAAAAGGATATGATGGGCCTGTTTCTTTCTGCAGTATATACTATAATAAATCAAGTTTATACAAATATTAATCAAGTTGGCTTTTAAACACAGATTAAAAGTGAATTCATGGCAATCAAAAATTCAAGATCAAGATAAGACCAAAATAATAGAAATACTCTGTTATCAAACATGAGGATCGTTTTGTCAACTGAAGCTATTGAGAACGAAATAACTTCTTTCTGTAGATACAGTTCATGTGATCACATGATCAGGGATGGGTCTCTTGACCATAACTCACCCATGGCTTGAATCCTGTCTGCGATCTGTGCAATCTGGGGCTCACTTTTCCTCTCTGACAAATGGAGATAATACTGATCTCCATTTACTGAGGGTTATAATGTGCCATATGACCCCACTCTGAGGTAGCACTTGTTATATAATAGACATTCAGAATAATTGAGGGGAAATAATCTTGGAAGACAGAAAGAAGCTTGACAACTCTGACACAGTAGCTCAATAAATGTTAGGTTCTTTATTTCTTTGCTTGCTGTTACCCTCAAATCCATTCATTTTTCTTAGGTCATCGCTGCTTGGAACTGGTATCTAGCTCTGTAGTTCCCGTGAGGAACACTAGGTCACAGCAGTTCTTGGAAACTCCTTACTGCTGTATGAGAAGTGAAAGGTGCAGGGATGCTGTCACTATCAGCACTTCCTTTGAAATACACAGCCTCTACATCTCCACATGAGTGGCCAGGATAGGACTGCCCACCCCAATATGCACGAGTCTATTGTTGAATGACCAAGAAAGTTCTGGTCACTTAAACTTCTCCTTTCTTTCCCCCACTGCATCATATTGGCTGACTCATATTTTTCAACAAATATTTATGGGGAAACACATGCCATTTCCACAAATATTGATGGAACACGCATGAACCTTGATGAAGGATTATTATTGTATCAAGGGAAGGATCTTGTATTCAGGAGCTCTAATTTAAGAGATAACACATAGAGATCGAGACCACAATATAAAATATGATGACATATGAGAAGTCCAAGTACAGAGAAGTAAGTTTTGGATGGGGGCAAGTAGTGATCAGAGAAGGCCTCATATAGGAGACAACATTGGCTCGAGTTAGTACAGGCAGCCCGACTTACATACAACCCAGAGTTATGAACCAAACCCAACCCAATACCGTCCATCAGTCCTGAATCACAGAGACCCTCCACTGGGTTTTCAAGGCTGTAAATCTTTTCAGGAGAGAACTGTCCTTGTCCTATAGAGTGGCCAGTGGACCTTACTGCTGACATTTTGGTTAGCTGTCTGCTACATTATACACTATTCCACCAAGGCTCCTTCAACAAATCCCAGTAAAATCTATCATTGAATATTCATGGCACGTACACTGGTTCACATGACATTACTGATATTTTTTCCATCACTTGCTATGCATTCGAGAGCTGGACAATGAAGAAGAATGACTGGAAAAAAAATGGATGCCTTTGAACTGTGGTATTGGAGGAGAGTACTAAATAGCCCATAGACTGCCCCAAAAAACAAGGATATGTCCTGGAGAATGTGCAGCCACAGTGCTCCTTGGAGGCAAGAACGGTAAAACTTGGTCTTGCATCCTGTTGGCATGTAGCTGGGAGAGGAAATTTCATGTAGAACATCATACTTGGAAAGGTAGAAGGACAGCAAAGGAGAGGAAGACCCTCAACCAAGTTTACTGACACAGTGATTGTAGCTCTGGGCTTTAGTGTGTGAGAGATGGTGAGGGTGGCACAGGACAGAACAGGGTTCAGATCTGTTGTGCATAGCATTGCTGAGTCACATTTGACTCCATGGTACCTAATAACATCACTGGCTCACAGTAACAAGCAGGGTCTACTTTGAGATGAGTATCAAAACATTATTACTATTATTGTATTATTAGAGATGTAGCTGGTATTTCTTCAATGTTATCTATCCATATGTCGTATGTGTTGCTGTTGTTATGTGCTGTCAAGTCAGAACTGACTCATAGCTGACACTCCAGTGGATTTTCAGAGGCTGTAAATCACCCAGTGGAGATTAACCATCTTTATTCCATGGAGCGGCTAGTGGATTCAAACCACTTGCCTTAGGGTTGACAGTGCAACTCCTTACCACTGTTGTTGTTGTTATGTGCCGTCGAGTCGCTTGTGACTCATAGCGACCCTATGTACAACAGCCCTAAACTGCTCTGTCCTGTGCCAATCGTACTATCTCTGACACTCCCATCCCGATTATCCCAGTCACTGAATCAATCCACCTCATAGAGGGCCTTCCCCTCCTGCACTGTCCCTCCACCCTCCCAAGCATGATGTCCTTCTCCAAGGACCGGTCTCTCCTCACAACATGTCCAAAGTATGTTAGACGGAGCCTCAGAATCCTTGCCTCCAAGGAGCCACCCGGTTTAACCCTCTCCAGGACAAATCTGTTTGTTTTCCTAGCAGTCCATGGTATTCTCAATACTCTTCTCCAGCACCACAGCTCAAAGGCATCAATTCTCCTTCTATCCTCCTTGGTCATTGTCCAACTCTCTGATGCATAACAGGTGATTGCGAAGACCATGGCCTGTATCAGACGCACCTTAGTCTCCAGAGAGACACCACTGCTCTTCAGCACTTTGGAGAGGTCCCTAACAGCAGACTTTCCCATGGCAATGCGCCTTTTAATTTCCTGGCTGCTGGTGCCAAGACTGTTGACTATGGAGCCAAGCAAACTAAAGCTGTGTACAATCTCAATCTCTTCACCATCCATCCTGATGCTGTCAATTGGTCCAGTGGTGAGAATCTTTTTCTTCTTGACATTGAGCCTCAATCCATATTGTAGGCTGCAGTTCCTGTATGTTGCTATTGTTGTGTGCTGCCGAGTTGCCTGTGACTCGTATCAACCCTTTGCACAACAGCTCCGAAGCCTGCCCTATCCTGAGCCAGTCTCATTGTCTCTAACACACCTATATCCATTACCTGAGTTTCATTTTACCCAGGATTTTCCTCTCCTGTTCTCTGTCCTTCCACCCTTCCAAGCATGATGTCCTTCTCCAAAGACAGTCTCTCCAGGCAACATGCCCAAAGCATGTGAGACAGAGTTTCACAATACTTGCCTCCAAGGAGCAACTTGGTTTCATTCTTTCTGTACTAAGACATTCAGCTAACATTAGATTTGAACTATATGAAGCCATTCTGATTTACACACAAAGTCAACTTAGAGACAGATTTATAAGTGGAA